CTAATCATTCGAACCAACCAACCGTACCAATATCATCGTTGGTGAAATACTGGCGCCGAAGAACATACTTTCCTGCTTTCATCGATGCATTCCTTATACTTATCACTAGCGAAGAAAGAAGAAAGAGGACCTTTTCAAATATCTTCTTTAATTCCTTGTCCAGGGGTCTTTGTACAACGACACCAAAATAAATTTCCCTACTATGAATATTTTATGGAGGAATGATATTTCTTCCGCAATTTGTATGATCATCCTATGATCGTACTGTAGACACAGCTTGCAATCTTTGTACATTTATTTATGCCAACAGAAACTGCTGTATTAATCGACATTAGCAATAAAAGTGAACACATTTGGTAATGAAAGACAATCTGAGCACAGGTACGAAACTGAACAATTGGACGACGATGCCCGTGAGATGGAATCGCTTCGGCTAAACACACTCTTGCTGAGGTAGTAAGAGCTGTAGTTCTTCTTTTGCTTGAAGAGACTGAACCAGCCCTGAGCGACTGCGAAATGCGCGGATATGTAGCTTCTAAGAATCTTTTTTTCTTCACGTGCTTACGTCCACAAGGTCGCGTCTAGTAAAGCGGAATTTCAGAAACAACATCAACGTTTGAAACGAGGTAAACGCACAAGTGGCGATGAGACCATTCACTACGATACAAACACAACACACACACATATTAATGTCATATTCCAACCACGGAGTAGACAATGCTCTCGCATAAGATAATCTCTTGTTAATACATTGAATCAGATATGATGCTATGGTAGCCTCCATTCACCGTAACGCAAATTCTTGTGGACCAGTATTCGCTCAACGAGCGCGAAATCACAAATTTGGAACCCCTTTCAGTTGAAGCTCTGAAGTCGACGTCGGCACTGTCTTGAGCGTGGTCTTCTTTTCTTGAGGGTGCAGCAAGATGGCCTCTATGTTGTGAGCCGGATACTCGGCCACCAGGGTGCAGATCATGGCGAAGACGTACGAGATCGCCAACTGCACCACACAGTGCGCGAAAAGCGGCAGCTTGGATTCGTACCAGATTGGGAATGGAACGAGTAGGTAGGTGAAGACGACAGGGATCATATGGAACAGGTACACCTAAACAATCGCTTGCAATAAAAATTCGAGCCAGCAGGGTTATGTGGCTGAGTCCAGAGTCGCCCCTGCAAGCACCGCGCTGGAAACGCACCCAGGTAGGT